TATACTTAAAGTGATGTTAATTAGCGTGTTTGTCCAAAGATAGCCGCTAGTTGACTCAAGTATGTATAATTTCTATTAAGGATTAATATTTAAAAGAGAAATTATAATTAATGTTAGGTTAATTAGTCTGTTTGTCCAAAGATAACCACTAATTAATCCAAGACCCTATAATTTCTGTTAAAGATCTTTCCTCTTAGGCATCAATCAAGTATATTATATATTTAAGTATTTGCCCAAAGGTATATTTAAATATATAATTTAAAAGATTTCTGAATCCATTAATTTTCTCTCAAAGCTTAATTAGCATGTATCAAAGTTTGCAGTGTTTAAATTTATTTTTTCCGTCAAGTATTATTATTAAAAAAAATTCAATGAGCTGAACTTCAATTAATGGTTTGAGCATATACATTTTCAATTAGGTGCACTGAATTTGAATATACTCTAATTACTGATGAAGTGCCCACAACCATTATTGGTGAGAGCTCCGAAGTAGAGGTAACTCTTCGTAGGGTATGTGAGCGATCAAATAGGTTGTGTTTGAATTTTATGAAATTAATCGTGACGGATAACATTAAGGTTGAAAATTCAATAGAATTCCTAAATAAAAAAATCAAGGAACTATCTCCATTTAAAGTTACGAAAAAAAGTCTATTGTGGAAAGTTTCATGATCGAACTCACCACTATAAAAGTTCAACTAATTCCGTTCCATTCATGGTATCGTGTCTAACATGTTCAACATATAAGCTAAACTTGCAAACATGAGAATGCATGTGATAGACTCATTTATAGTTTTATTCATCATGAACTCCCTACCTGTCGAGTTTGACCAATCCTAGGTGAACTATAACACCATTAAAGATAAAATGGGACTATAAGGAAATTAAGGCTATGCTGGTGCAGGAAGAGGTGAGAATAAAAGAGATGAAACAAGAGTCGATACACTTTATATCTCATGTAAGAGCCAATAATAGTAAGATGAAATGGGAAACAAAGGCAAATAAAAGAAGATTGACTTACTTAAAGTTTTTACAAGTCCAATCATTAAAGAAATGAGGTGTTATTCCTGTAAAAAGTTAGGCCACCTCATAAAAGATTGCCCAAAATAAAATATTGATTCGAAAAAGAAAGATATACATTAAGTTTTGTATGTTGTGAATCATATTTATTAAAGATTCCCAATGATACTTGGTGGCTTGGTTATGTGCAACTACTTATGTATCTCATATTTAATTTTGGGTTAAACGTAGTGCACATAATGAATACTATACTCTCTTATGGCATTAAAGATTATGGTCACATATCCGAAGCAAGGTTTGAGAATGGTGAATAATAAAACCATTTCTCATTTGGATTTTAGTGATCAAGATGTATGTGTAGGATGAATTAAAGAAACGCAAACTAGACATACATTAAAGAGATTTGCCAAGAGAAGCACTAAAACTTATTTTTACTAATTTTCTTGTGGTCTATTAGACGTCCCTTTATGGGGTTTCGTAAAGTTTTTAATCACCATTATAAATGATTTCTCACGTTATAATTATATTTATCTACTACATGAAATGACTCAATCATTGGACTATCCACATATATACATTGATGAGATGAAAAGGTAGTTAAATAAATAAATAAAAGTTGTGAGATCTCACTAGATTGGTGAATATTATTGTAAGTTCAATGAAAGAGGATAATATCCTAGTCCATTTGTAAAGATTCTTGAGATTATAAGTATTTGTGTGCAATACACTATAATTGAGACTTCTCAACATAATGGTGTTGCTGAGAGGATAAATCGTACTTAAAAGGGTATGGTTAGGAGTGTTGAGTAATTCAACATTAACGTTTTCTATGTGGATGCGTGTGTTAAAGATTGCTGCATATTAGGTAAATTGGGTTTCTATTAAAGTAGTTCATAAAATACCTTATGAAATATGGAAGGGTAGGAAACCTAGTTTGAGGCATCTTCATATTTGGGGGTGTCAAGCAGAAGTAAAAGTACATAATCCACATAAAAATAAACTTAATCCTAGGACAACCAGTGGTTATGCATTGGCTATCCGAAAAGTTATAAAGGATATAAGTTTTATGGCCCTAACCATAGTACGAGAATAGTTGATTGCGAAAATGCTCGATTCATTGAAAATTATCAAATCAGTGGGAGTTTGGAACCGCAAAGTTTGGATGTCAAAGAAACTCGGGTTGAACAGTCCAAACTTGAGAGTCCATTAATGGTTGTTATTCTTCTAGTTACATTAATGTCATATAACTTAGATGAATAACACAATGATCCTAACTTACTTGATAATGAATCATCACAAGCAATCATAATTATAGAACAACCTTTGGTTGATGAATCTCAAGTCATTAAAAGTAAAAATTCTGGAAAAGTTTGCCAATGCCATGAAGAATAATTACAGTCAATGGATGACAATAAAGTCTGGGATTTAGTAGAATTACCTGAAGGGTCTAAAAGAGTCGCGTGTAAATGGGTTTTCTAGAAAACCAAACATGACTCTAAAGGTAATATCGAAAAGTATAAATCTAGACTTCAATGTTACATCCAAAAGGAAGGCATTGACTACAAGGAAACATTCTCTCTCGTTTTTAAGAATGATTCCTTGAGAATTGTAATGGTGATAGTGGC